GTAAAAAGAATATATAGGGGATCAGATAAAAATTTCATGCACTTCAATGAACAAAAAAAAAAAAATCTTTTAAATGGACAAAAAATCAAAATCAAGAGAGGACACAAAAACAAATCTTGCCTCCCACTGCCTACCCTTTGAATACCTAACTTCCAACCCCTCCACACTCCCATTACTACATATCCTTTGATGACTTCATCTTTGAGATGAACTCACTGCATGGTCTACTGCCACAGAGAATAGAAAAGTTTCCTACAAAGTGATTAATACTGATACATTTATAATGGAATCAATAATTACTTGTTTCTGCAATTTCCCCCAAAATAGCATAAACACTGGCAAAAGTAAATTATTACAATTCGTAAACTCTTCTAAAATTTATATCTACTGTCCCGATACAGCTTACTTAATTACTCAAAGAGCTACATTTTATAGCTACATCATCCAGCTGTGTTGATCAGGATAATTTGTTACTCCAAAATTACCTATCATTAGACATTAGGAAATATTAAACACATGTTATAGCCATGGTGTATGAATTGGTAACATTCACTTTTTAAATTTACAAGTTAAAACCCTCTCATATACTTTAATACAGTGTTAAACTTTGATGATTGGGTCAACTCACTCTTTTGCTAGAATACTGATCTACTTGAGGGGGGGGGAAAAAAAGGTCTTTGCCCTACCAACAGGTCTAAGAAAATTCAACACTAAGCACATACGCATTTTTTCTAGGTGGGCATTTTGGTCAGGCCCTACCATTTACTGACTGAATTTCTAAGGATATGGATTTGCATTTAATCAATAGCAGGTCCTGAAAAACAGAATATAATCTCCAATTGCATATTATCCAATTCTTATATAAAGTCTAGCAGTATCTTTGGAGGACTTTATGAATGATAAGTCCATCCATTGTTTTATATATTCTAAGGTTTATCCTTTTAAATGGTCAAGCCATCAGAAAGCAAGGTACTTACGCCATTTTACTTAAACTAGGAATAGCATTATGTAACTGCAAAATACATTTGTATCTTACCATGAGGGTTCTCCTGGAGTGTCAGACCCTAAGAGGCTCTGGTCCACACTTGTAGGGAAAGGAAAGGGGGAGGGGAGGGAGGGAGAGTTCTAAAAGAAAGATCCTAATGTAACTGATTCATTTACTGTTTTAAAGACCACGGCTCAACATATTTTTCTTTTATAACAATGCACATGCAAATTTTCTTGTGAAGTTCAGCTTTGGCTAATGAGAGAAACCTCATCTTTAGCTCATGTAAAGTTTCATTACCATTTTTGCACTTCACTGAGTCTCAAACCTAAACACCTATATCTTAATAGCTTCTCACTTATGTTTTCTTTCTCATATTTTACTTTTATACTTATTTATCATAGGCCACATCAAATCTTTAGGATAAAAAAGAGCTCACAAACCTTTCCCTCTGAACTCAGGGTTATTGTATTTAGCTATGTCAATTATAAATGTATACAAAGATGTAACACAGCCCCCCAAATTAAACTATAATGTATACAGATTTCACGATTCATGTAATTATTTCTAAATGAGGCAAAGTTAACAATTTAATATGAATTTTCATACACTTTTCATACTAGAGCTAAATTTATAAAGGGTATTTAAAAGTAAAGATTTTGAATATAGAATATTAGATGTCATATAATTACCCAGCATGTTTTAACAGATTAAAATATTACCCTGTCTTTCTACTGTCAAATAAATATGGAATTCCTTTTATGGGGGCTTATCATCAAACCAAATGCTTTATACTCAGTGTGAAAATTCAATCACAATTGTCAAAGATCAAGCTGCTACTTTTTTTTTTTTTTTTAAGATTTTATTTATTTATTTGACAGAGAGAGACAGCGAGAGCAGGAATACAAGCAGGGGGAGTGGGAGAGGGAGAAGCAGGCTTCCCGCTGAGCAGGGAGCCTGATGTGGGCGCTCGATCCCAGGACCCTGGGATCATGACCTGAGCCGAAGGCAGACGCTTAACGACTGAGCCACCCAGGCGCCCCAAGCTGCTACTTCTGATAACATGATGAGATATCATCTTGTTCAATATATGCTTTCAACTTGACATGTAGGCTAATAAAAAATATAAAGTTGTAGTATTTATTTTGTTTCTTGAACAACAGAAGGCTTCTAACAGGGATGATCAAAATATCTAGTATCATTGCCTGAAAATACAGTTGACTCTTATCTGGACACAGATTAACTGGTTTACAGATAAACTATAGTAAAATAATAGCAACATGCATTGTCCTTGTAAATTACTATGCATCAGCCACTATGTATCAGTGTAAGAGGATGTCTACTTTCAACTGCATAACTAAGAGGCACAACTTTGTGTCCATTTTGTCTATTGCATTGTCATTCACTCAACAGCTATTTATTATTTACTATGCACCAGGCACTGTATCAGACCACTTGACCTCATCAATCAGACCTAATGTCTTGTCAACAGCTCCTCTTGCAAGGAAAGCATGAGGGAGGGCGTATGGTCAACTCCCTGTGAGTCGACTGGAGTTCTGAGATACAAGCTCTCCAGAGGAACAGACACTTAACACTAAGAAACAAACTCCAGTTGATTTACAGGTGTAAATTCCTCCCTGACCTTGCTCTTCAGCTTGTCTGTCTTCCTTTGCTTCCCTGTTCAGGGAAAGCCTGAATCTGGCAGGTCTGCTTGCCTCCTCGCCCTTCCCCTTCCAAGTTAATTATCACCACATTCTCACAGTTTCCTAGATGCTCCTTAAATGTGTCACTTCTCTTCACCCCTCCCCTATCCTACCCCAAACCCTTCTGCCACTACCGAAGCTTGTACTTCCATTGTCTCAACATAGAGTCAGTTGCATAATAGACACACACTGTTTCAGAACATTTGCTAAATAACCACAGCAGATTCCATCACCCTCGCCATCTATCTTTTCAGCTTGAGTTCCTCAGTCACTTGCTACACATCAGCCAGTCACTGAGTCTCTCCCAACTATAGCCCTCTAGGCCATTGCTGTCCAGGAGAATACTTTACGGTGATGGAAATGTGCTATATTTATGCTGCCAACACATATGGACACTTATTCACCTGAAACGTGGCAAGGGTGACTGAGGTATTTCCTAATTTTATTTAAATTTTAATTAATTTACATGTAAACAGCCCCACATGGCTCATGGTACCAGGACTGGACAGTGCAGCTCACCTTTCTTCCATACCGCTATTAGAATTACATTGCTATGGACATCTCTGAGAATATGACTTGAATTAAAGAACTAACATGTCTCTGTTAATCTTCACCATCAGGTGTGCCACTGGAGGTGCTTTTCAGTCTACACCAATTTACTATTTCATTTCCATTTTCTCCACGCCTCTCCCGCCGAAGCTTCCGATCATTTGGTGGACTCACATAGGCCACGATATGACCCTTCATGCCAACTGAGGGCTATTGTCTAGAATGCCTTTCCTTCTCAGGAATATCCACGCATACTTCCAGATCCAGCTCAAATTCCTATTCCTCTCTGAATGCTTAGCTGTCCTCCCTTAACCGAGCTAGCCTCTCTCTCTCAACTCTGTTGCCATAACTTTTTGGAAAGAGCTCTATTAAACATTTTAATCATAATGGTTTACATGTGAAAAACAGGGGTTCTGTGTATGCCACATAAATAATTACATCCTTTCAATGAGATGATCAGGTCAAGCATTGAGCACAAGAATAAGTAAGCACCCCTTAAATGTGCAAAGTTTTCAATACATGTATTATGAATTGCAGCCCCCATGCTAGGGATCTTAACTGAATATATCAGGCTCAGAAAATGAGAGGAAAAAAGATGGGGATGGAGTTAAGCAAGCTCACAAGCTGTTGATACCAAGAGGAGGCTTAGGTCAGGAAAACTGTGTAAGGAAAGTCATGAAAGCACTGAGAGATCAACTATTCAAGCAAACCCAAAGCTAAAACTGGACTTGTTTCTCACCTTCCCTAAGTGGCAATAGCAACACAGGTCTCCCCAGCTCCCCAAAAGTAGAGCATTCCCATGAAACCTTTCATAAACCAAATGGCGTAAAGCAGAGAAGCAATCACCATTGCGTAAAAGCGGAAATCCTGTTCGGATTTCATTTTGGAAACAGGTGTATGCTAATGTAGGTCTTTTATACAAGTGAAGTTGCGTGAAGTGAACTTCTGGACAGCGGGGAAAACCAGTCATCAAATTCCTTAATCAGGTAGCATAGATGTTAGAGCAGGTGAAGAACAAAAGAAAGCTTTTCTTATGATGTGTAACGGAGAAGAATTTGTTGTAAGCAGATCAATAAAGCACTATTACTATGGCCCGCTTCTGAGGAAAGAGCTCTGTTACATAAAACAGTGAATATATTTGCCGTAAGGACATTTAACCTGTGGAAGAACCCAGGAGAAAAAAAAGAAACAAATCTCTAAACTTACTTAATTCTCACATCCTTTAAAATTGTATTTAGATAGAAACATTTCAAAATCATCAATGACATCTGAGGCATGTTTATTCCTAATAAAATGATTTTCCCTTTATATAAAGCAGTCTCATTCTTTTCTCCCTTTCGTCAGTTTGCAAAAAAAAAAAAAAAGCAAAGAAATATTTAAATACTAAAGGTAAAAAATGTAGTGGCAAGCCTAAGCAATTCTCAATATATCTATACCATCATTTGAGCTACCTGAATTGAATATTAGATTTAAATAATATTTTGATGTTCCATTTCATTAGTTCAGGAAAGCATAGGTTTACAACATAATTCTGTTATTAAACAAAATCCTTCCATTGAATTTGCAGATCAGAGAAAATTAATATTTGGATTTAGCTCTGAGGTTGAGTAAATTAGCTCAGTTCTCTCTGGGTTTGGGTTCATGGGTTCCTTCAAATTCTTGATAAAAGCACATCAAAATAAAAATATTTAAATAATGTAATCAGGGCTGACATTTCCAAGTAGGTGTTCAGGCAAATATGTGTTTTTAAAAAACGAACTCACTTTACAGAGAGAGCTAAGGTTAAATCCGAAGGTTTGAGCATTCCGGGAGCCAGCATTCATGTAGTTTCCCATTAGCAACACAAGTTCCAGCAACTTGCGGAAGCTTTTGCTCTGCTTTATCTCCTCGCAGGCAGTACTGACAGCCATGGTGTCAGGTTTGATGTTGTTCACCTGCTCTTCAAACTGCAGCTTAAAGAGAATAGCACTGAGCCGTGGCCGTAGTCTCTTCACATTGCTCATCTGATTGAAAAGAAAATAGCAGATTCCCTTTAAAATGCATGGTATACTTTAGTACTGTATGATTGCGAGTAATCTGGGACAATTTATTGGTATGACAGTGCCGAGGAAGCAATATGTCCCTTCAAACTGATAGCAGGGAGAGAGAAGAGCCCTGCTTGTTTTTGTGTGCAATCAAGAGTCATTCCTCAAAGAAGAAAAATTAACAGTTTAGATGCCCAATAGAAAGAAAGCTTTAATTCAATGACAATGGTCAGGTAATCAAGTATATATAATTTAACAGAAACCAAATTTAAAAAGGTAACAGGGTACAGAGGCAACAAAGTACAAAGCATTCCTACTATTAATTTTTGTTCAATATTGAAAATGTGGGGTCATGTTTAAAACATTCAGAAAGGTCTAAAGAGGGTTTGTTTTCTTCAAATAGTAACCGCTGTCCTCAGAAGCCCTGCTGACTAACAGTATGTGTTAGATGGAGGGAAAGTAAATAGGTCCCAATTTGTACTAAATTGACTTTCTTGAGAAACAGTCAAGTAGAAGGACTCCTGATGCACACTAAATTAGCAGGGTTGGTGTTGGGGAACATGGGCATAGCCAGAGACAGAAGCCACACAGAGCCACAGGTCCATCCCATGCCACGTGAACCCTGTTCGGGACTCTGGGTTCCCTTGTTGCAAATGTTGGGGGTTGAAGACTTTAGAAAGAACAAAAAGGCTAGAGAGTCAGAGAGTTCTTGCCTTGAGCTGACTCCCGTGTGTTCTAACCCAAGGGAGGAGAACAGCCATTTAACTGGAGGCTGGAGACAAAGGGCATTTAAGCTATGAATTCCTTGGCCAAATATACTAAGAATTTGAGACTTAAAACACCTTGATGAGGCAATAACAGTGAAACTATTAAATTTCAACAACTATTATAATATCAAAAGCAGTGAGAAGCAAGGTCAGGAAAAAAAAAATAGTGACAGAACACCTGAGGGTTAAAATAGGGAATAGTTGCGTCAGTCACAGACCCTAAAGGAAAAAAGTAAAGGACAACGTCACAGAAAGCTTATAGGATTTCTGTTCAGGAGGCACAAGACTATCTGCTCATAATATAATGACTGTTATTTAAAATTAAATAGACCAGACAAAAGCCTGAACTGACTAGATTCAAAAAGCTATAAGAGACACTGCTTGGCTGCAACCGACGGTATAGCCCGGCACCCCCATGTAACCGCAGCTGAGCAATAAGGGGTTAGCTCTCCATAGATACCACTGAGGGAAGTGTCCGAGGGACCGAATCCATACAGTGACTGAAAAGTTTCGTAGTCAATAATATAAAGAGATAAATCACATTTAGTGTTCTCCCCAGCCACCTGGCAGATTAAACGTTTAAGTGTATACAGCCAAGATGCTAAGAGTTCAACTAATGTAGTTAATGACTCCCCTCTACAAAGAGCTTTGAGAAATATCTTAAAATTCCCAGAGCTCAAGGAATGTCTTCAAATTTGCCTGTCTAGAGGAAATTTTTCTTTTCTTCCTACAAGAAAGTAGAAAGACTGTAAGCTCAAATAAGACTAAAAAAACAAAGCAAAAACTAATAATGGTTCCATAGAATAAATATAAAATGCTAGAAAGATAAAATGAAGCTCTATTAGAATACCAATTCCGAGTGGGCATGAATACTTCAGTTTGGACCTCTATGTCCAGCACACAAATTAGAGTTAAACAGTGATTACTTCTCATAAAGTCATTTCATATGTCTTAAATGTTCCCAAATGGGCTAAATTCCCTACGTTTTTATCCTTAAACGTTGCAAATGGCATTCATATTATATTGGGCCAATTCTGTATAATGCTCTATTACATTTAATAGATCCCTCAGAAGAGTAAAACAAAGGAGTAATCACCTGAGTACACACAGTTACAGTCATTCAAAAGGTGTATGATGCACCCATGGCATGTTTTTGACCTGCGCCCTCATTCATGATACTTTGTTACTTTGCAGTAAACATGAGAAGTATCCCAGGAAAATATTAGTACTACAAAATATATTACTTTTAACCTATATTAATGTACTTTATGCACAGAGAGAAAAAACTCTGCCTAAATGCTTATATTATACTGCCCCCAAATATGTTAAAGCTTTCCTGCTGACAAGCAAACCATATGTAGCCAGTATAAAGTAATTAATTTTCCTAGAAAAATATAACTTAGATTTGTATGAATAATGAGTCTACCTGGTACTGGGGACAGGCACCTTGAAAAGACAGAGTAAGTGTATGATGTAATGCAGAACCAAATGCTATGAGTTCATGAAAAAGCCTGACAAAGCAAAGTCAGGAAAGAAATTCTAAAAAACACATCTTGGAGCAACAACTTTTAAAATTAGACGTCCTTTGCATACTGTTTTTCCTTCCAAATTTTAAAAAATATTTTGACAAATATGAAATAAATTTATTTCAGTGAACAAAATCACTGAGCTGGAAAAGAACCTGAGGGATCACCTGGAGCTCATTAAGGTCTTGAGTCCACTACTGAAGAGCCTACTCTGATCCTCCAGGACACATGACTGTCCCTGTTACTTAAAAACAAAACCAAACCCGTAAAGAACGCTAATGTTCTAAGATTTAAGATCTAGATCTACGATAATCACAGGGTTCTTTTTGTCATTAATCAAATCAAGGTCTTTTGTCACATAGGATCAGAAAAGGTTTAAAAATTAGAATTTTTTTTTTTTTTAATTCCTGAAGACGTTTCTTTGTCACTTCACATGATCCCTCAACCACAGGACTTGCATTGTTTGCTTGCTAAGGAACCTCTCATTTGTCTGAGGCTGGATGCAAAAACGGAGCATTATAGTGCTCAAATAATCTTCTCTATGGTAACAAAGTCGCTACAGAGGAGGAGAAGAGTTAAAAAAGTTTAACTTTAAGATAGCTAATAATTACAATGCTAAAAGAAATTAGAATTCCTCTTTCACAGAGGTATCCTTTCAATTTATTGTTAAGGAGTCTTAGTAATATAAACTCATATCACAAAACTCTGACAATAATGAACTGTGACCTGAAGATCAATCTAAAGCATAAAAAAGAAAGTGAAAATAATTTGATTTCACTATTGTCTGAAAGCAGGGGGCAGAGTTCCTGCAATCTCCCCACCCCATGACCAGAGATGGCCCATGCCCCAATGAGAATACCTTTCCAACAGTGACTGGTGAAAATCAAACCACAAGCGAATGCCAAGGGTGATCTTTATAGACATACTTGGGTTTGTTGGCAATGGGAGTGTTGTCAGAGAAGAGATGAAATGAAAGACCTTTAGAGAATAATGAACCAACAGGTACTGACTGAATGCCCACTCAGCGCTGTGTGAGTCACCTAAGTCATGAATTCCACCCTTGGATCATCCAAGTCTTTCCATCTGTCTTAAAGGGTAAAAAAAAAAGTAGTAGTAGTCCCCAGGAAGATGTCATCTTCCATCATCTCATTGTGATTATGTTTTTCACATGTAATTTTAATGTCATCCATTGTCTTATTGGGGAAGAAATAGAAGTAGACATTTTTATACCAACTATTTCTAATATCATATCTGGTTCTCTTTATTTCTTTTATAGATAAGAGATATTCAGAAACTGGCTTATTCAACTTGCTGGGACACCTGGGTGGCTCAGTCGGTTAAGTGTCTGCCTTTGGTTCAGGTCATGATCTCAGGGTCCTGGGATCGAGTCCAGCATCAGGCTCCCTGCTCCATGGGAAGCCTGCTTCTCCCTCTGCCTGCCGCTCCCCCTGCTTATGCTGTCAAATAAATAAAATCTTAAAAAAACACTTGTTGGGTCCCCCCCACCCTCTTGCCCGCAGACTTGCATAGGCTTCCCTCAAAAGAAATTTCAGTACATTCTCCGTATCTTCGCTATTCTTCCCTAAAGTTGTTTTAAAACTATTTTAACCATTCATTTAGCTAACACTACAATTAGCCAACTGATTGAAAAGCCACTCACTTCAGTCTTGACTGGCCACTCTAAACCTTTACTTCATAGACTTTGTACATATGTCAGGAATAACAGAATATGATTTCACAAAGTTTTAAGGACTCCTTCGAGGTCACAGGCAGGTAGGACACGGCCCTCGGGCTAACTTGTTGCCAATCACATGTGCGTGCCACTCAGAGCATCACAGTGTGGAAATTAATAACCACAACTTAAAAACTATCTGACAAACTACTCCTTTGCTTTTCCAGGAGTATGAATGGACTTTAACTGCGCCACAGTAGTTATTAGACAAAACACTAGAGTTGACCCTGCTGTGAGCACTGCCTGCTACGACTTTGGACTCCTTTCCTTTCCCAACTACCTCCTGTTGTGCTGATTTTTTAGTATTTTCCAGATTCGTGTTTGTTGTCCCCTTACACTGCATTCTCCACTCATACTTTCTTATTAGCTAATTCTTCTGTTCTCTGTGGGAGAGGTGCAAGACGCAAGGAGAATGTGAAAGAACAAATGCTTCGTTGTCCGAGACAAGACCAGAGAAAATGACAAAGGGTTGAGGAAGGAAAGCGACATCCAAGAAAGCAATGTGAATCTATTAACAGAATTAACACACTTAGAAAAAAGGTTTTTAACTTGATTTCTTAAGCTAAACTACATAAAAAATATCTACCCTTTACTATTGGTTGGCCACTACTTTCAAGACTTCCAGAATGCTCAGGAAAAAAGAACAGTTTGTTTCATGTCAAGAAATGCATCTGAAGGGGCACATAGGTGGCTCAGTTGGCTGAGCATCCCTCTTGCTAAGGGTTTAGGTCATGACCTCAGGGTCTTGAGATAGAGCCCCACATTGGGCTCCACACTCAGCAGTGAATCTGGCTGAGGTTCTCTCCCTCTGCCCCTTGCCCCGCTCACTCACTTGTGCTAAGATAAACAAAATCTTTAAAAAAAAAAAAAAAAAAAAGAAATGCATCAAAAACTTAGCTATTTAAGCACCTTATGCCTGGGTAGTGCTAAGAGTATAAAAAAAATTTTTTTTAA